AAATTTCTTTTGGACAACGGGTTCAAAAGGGGGAAGGTTGACACTACACTTTTTATCAAGAGTAAAAACGATAACATCCTCTTGGTGCAAGTTTACGTAGATGACATTATATTCGGTGCTACTAACGAATCTCTGTGCAAGGAATTTTCAAACTTAATGACAAATGAATTTGAGATGTCCATGATGGGGGAACTCAATTTCTTCTTGGGGTTACAAGTCAAACAAATGAGGGAAGGGACCTTCATTTGTCAATCAAAGTATTGCAAGGAGCTCCTAAAGAGATTTGAAATGGATGGCTCCAAAGCAATGGCTACCCCAATGAGCACCTCCGAGCACTTGGAAAAAGATGAAAAGGGTAAGGAAGTAGGCGTAAAGAAGTATCGAGGTATGATCGGATCCCTTCTTTATCTTACCTCTAGTAGACCCGATATCATGTTTAGCGTTTGTTTATGTGCAAGGTATCATTCTTGTCCGAAAGAATCGCACTTAATGGCGGTGAAAAGAATAATGAAGTATCTTGTTAGTACAATGAACGTTGGACTATGGTACCCCAAGGGGTCTCCTTGTCATCTTTTTGGCTATTCCGACTCGGACTTTGCCGGTTGTAGATTAGACCGTAAGAGTACGAGTGAGACTTGTCACTTTCTTGGTAGTTCTTTAGTCTCATGGTTTAGTAAGAAGCAAGTCAGTGTTGCGTTATCCACAACTGAAGCGGAATACGTTGCCGCCGGTAGTTGTTGTGCTCAAATCCACGTCCCTCTTCGATGTGATAATACTAGTGTCATAAGCTTGACGAGGAATCCGGTTCTTCACTCAAGGACAAAACATATTGACATTAGGCATCATTTCATTAGAGATCATGTTCTCAAAGGTGATGTCGAAATTGAGTTCGTTGAAACACACAACCAATTAGCCGACATTTTCACAAAACCTTTAGAGAAAGAGTCGTTCTTCCGCATTCGTAGTGAACTCGGAATCCTTGACTCCATGATGATCTAAGTTGTGCATTAATTATTATTTTTGGTCCTTACTAACTTGAACGTCGGAGACGTTTTTAATTCTTTTTTGCAGGGCTCTTTTTTAATTTTATTATCAGGTGTCAAAGTCAGGGGGAACAAAGCAAATCGATTTTTTGTCTCGAGACTTGGTGTAAATCGATTTACAAGCTTGTGAAAATCGACTATCACAGCCCGCTGAAATTTGGAGCTGAAACTGAAGGAGCCAGTAATCGATTATCAACATTATAATAATCGACTATCATTGCCCGCAGAAGTTTGAAGCAAATCAGGCGCAAACCACGACAATCGATTATACGTTTTGTGTAAATCGACTATCGCAGCCTGAAGTTCCTTCGGCGGAGAATCTGAAAACCTAGATAATCAATTTACAAGTTATGTAAATCGATTTACAACGGTAGATTTTCAAAAATCTGACCATTTTCTAGCCGTTTCGAGAGCAATTAATGCCTGTTTGACCACCTCTACGAAAATAAATTGGTGATATCTACTCAATATTTACTCATTCCAATCATCTCTTCTCCATTTATTCATCATAATTCATCATTCTTGCTGTTGTTCTTCAACTCTTAGCCAAATTTTCTGCAATCTTTCTATACTCCCTCTCTACTTTGTTGAAATGGCAGGAGGTCAAAGAAAAAGATCCCGTACCGGCAAGAACGTGGCTTCTTCCTCGGCTCCTCTACCACCGGCGCACAAGTACCTCGACGGGTCGTTCCTTTGGTTCAACGACCACGTAGAGGCGACGCGGTTCTCGGAGAAATTTGAGAACCGAGAGATTCTCCCTCACCGATTCTCCACCGCCCCGTTCATTCTTGACTCCATTCCACGTGAGGCACGGGTTATCCTCGAACGTGGAAACTTCCTCGATCTCCTCTACATCAAGAAGGTCAATTATCACCCCTTTCTTGTTCGAGCTTTCTACTCGAACTTGAAAAAGGATGAGGACGGAGCGTTGATCTCTAACGTCAACGGGGTGGACATCTATTTGAATGAGGAGAACATTCAAATTCTCACCGGGCTTCGTCGGGATGGACAGGATCTCGGGCTCTACGTTGGAGAAGAAGGAGCACGGTTCAATGAGACCGCCCTCTTAGAGGAAGTGGGCATCCGACACTTCATCCCCACTCCCCAACAGCGGCGCCCTACGATTGCTTCCATGAGTCCCGTGTTTCGATTCATTTTTTGTGTTTTGACACGGATTCTCAAGCCTAGGAAGTTCAATCACACCACTCTCTCCCAGGAGGACACAAAGACAATTCATGCAATGATTCACAACGCCAATCTCAATTGGTGTAAATTTGTGATGACTCACATGTTCACGGCCACCTCCGACAATTGGCCGCTCCCCTACGCCCTCCTTGTCATGGCGATTCTTAAAGAGTATAACATCAATACCGATGTTGGGCCAAAGATAAAGGGGACAAAGCATTGGGAGATTGATGAATCCTCTTTCCACTCGGGCACCGACTAAACTCCGTTTCGACAGCCTCGTCCACGCCGCCAACCGAGAGCCACTGCCTCAACCGCCACCACTTCGACCTATCCTTCTCTCGCCGAGCAAATGGCAGCCTTAACCGCCACTCTCTCTCTCGGATTGAAACCAACGTCTCCAAAACGGCACACAACGTCAATACCTTGAGCCGTGAACTTCACGGGTATTTTGACTTTGTCAATTACCCGTACGCTCAAATGGTCCCGTACGTTCCTCCACCGAATTTCGGAGGTGAACAAAGTGGGACTCAAAACGTTGGTAGAGATGAAGAAGTGGACGATGAGGAAGAGGAAGAAGAAGAGGAAGATGATGATGATGATGATGGCGATGGTGATGAAGAAGAAGAAGAAGACATTGACGAAGAACAACTTTTCAATGATCTTTCCCCGGATTTCTAGAGCTCTAGCTCTACTTTCTTCTCTTCGTTATTTTATCATCTTTTAATACGCTTTCGTTATGTACTCCGTTATTTCCCTTAATTAATTAATAAAAATCTTTATGATTTTTGTTGTTAACAATCTTTTTGTTAATGTCAAAAGGGGGAAGACAAGGGCAATGCATATATTAAGGGGGAATTTTTTATTAAAAAGATCAAAATCCTATGCATATCCCCGTCTTGCCCGTCTTGTTTGCCAATATCAAAAAGGGGGAAATTGTTGGAACACACTTTGTACGATAAACTTAAGTCGTGTTCATTTCTGATAGGTTTTGATAATTGCCAAACCACCGTGGATATAAAGAGTTTCGTTGAATAACTCAAGGCGTGAAGAATGGCTTGGAACAAGACCTAAAAGACTCAAGGACAAGATCAAAAATTGAAGATTTAGTCGAGTCGGTCTTTTGTGATCAAAACCGACAATAAATTAAAGTCTCGGCTCTCAAAAAGTCAAAACAATTTTTACAAATCACAATTTTTTTTTGTGCATCAAAACAAACATTTTTGATGATTTCTTCTATTGTCAAAATCCCTGGTCCTTGCTCAGAACCCAAACCACCTTAGTCAGCGTTCGGCTTTCGGCGTTCGGTTTTTGGCGCCCGAACCAACTCCGTGGTTTTCAATTTTTTTAAACCCTGTTTTTACCTCTGAGCATTTTTAAAATGTTCCCAAATAATTATTTTATAAAAACCACTTTTGTATCTTGGTCAATCGGTCTAACACGTGAAAAATGGTCTAAACCGTACGCACGTATTATACGACCTTGGAGACTTGGTTTTTACCAAACAAGTCTTGTTTTCACTATTTTATACCATATACAATATTTTCCAAACCTGGTTTTTACTTTTGGGAACACTTCGTTTTTGGACCTCGGTTTTTCAAAACGGGTTTCAGCTGGCTAGACTTTAGCTGGGTGATAATCGATTATCACCTTAGTGACAATCGACTATCAGCCCCTGCAGCTTTGAACTTCCAAAGTTCTGAAGCACGCAATAATCGATTATCAGCTTTGCGATAATCGATTATCAGTCTTTGCAGCCAAAACCCAGAATCTTCTGAGAGGACAAATAATCGATTATCACTTGTTGACAATCGATTATCTGGGTTACCGTTGTCGTCCAACGGATAGAATTTTAAATTTTTGGACAGGGAATCTTTGGATAATCGATTATCAAGCTTTGACAATCGACTATCACCCTGTGTCTCTGAAAAATTTGTCTTCATCCTGTTGGAAACTCTAGCAACAGATTTATCCCATTTTGGGCTATAAAATGGCACCCAAATCCTCTCATTTTACACACAATTCTTCAACATTTCAATACTCCTTCATTGCATAAGCATTCCTATTTTTCTTAGCTATTTGAGAGCAAATTCTTGAAGAAATTGTCGTGTTCTTGAGCGTTTACTAGTTCACTCATATCTACTCTTTGTGAGAGTTTTATTCCTGAGTGTTTAAGTGTCTTCATACACTTTAAGGGAGGTTGTTCCCTTGTTGTAAACTCGAAGGAAATTACTTGTTCCTTCGTGAGAAGTCTTGGAGTGCGGTATCTCCGAGCAAAGGTGTTGAGGCTCGTGTGACTCGGGTTCTCAAGTTGTATCGGTTTGTTAAGCACCCTTAAGCTTAACGGAGTTAGTGTAGCTCGAGAGAGTCTCTCGAGGGGGCTGGATTAGCCACACGTTGTGGTGAACCAGGATAAAATTCGGTGTGCTCCTTCCTTACGCTCTTTACTTTAACGCTCTCGTTTTAATTTCCTGTGATTTTGTTTTAAACGCTATTCACCCCCCCTCTAGCGTTGGTCGATCTCACAAGGAGTTGTGCGAATCTCAAGGACTTGAGATTTGAGAGGTCGCTGAATTTCTTCTTCTGATGCTTCTTGGTTCTGTTCTTGTGGAGTAGAGGCTGCATTCTCTTGGTTAGCTTCAGGCAGAACCGTTACAAAGGAGGGTGAGGTTTCCGGAAAGATTGGGAAATCCTCAGCTATTGCTTACAAATCAGCTTGTGCTTCAGAAGTGAGAATCATCTGTTCTTCTGTGGCTTTTGAGAAGATCTGTAACACCCTAATCCGTCCAGGTCTGCAGCCCCTTTCGGACTAAAGTATTAACTTCGTAATCGTAAAAATTTAAAACATTTCAAACACTTTTATTTATCATAATAATATTTTTCATAATATAAACAAAACGGAGTTTTCGATATTGCGGAAGCTTTACCAAATCATAATTACAACATAATTTATTATGTTCTTTAATTCAAAACCATTACATCCATTCCGACAATTTCGCCTCCGACCGCCTTCAGGATCACGTCACATCATTCTTTCTATTCACCTGCGTGTAGCAAACAAAACATACTACACGCTCAGCAGTAAAGCTGAGTAAGCATATCTAATGCGGCGAACATCCATATAAATTGTATCTCAATTCACAATCAAATCATTTGATATCATGCACATAATGTTCATTCAGATATTCAATAACCAATATTCAATTTTCAACATTCATTATTCAATCGTTCAACATGTATGTTCTTCATTTGTCATTCAACAATATCCTTAAACTATTCTTAGTCTAAGGCAAATTATTTTAATATTTGTAACCCTTAAATGAATTCTAGTTTAACTAATTAAACTATATTCCAGTATACAGAGTACTCCTAATAATCCTTAAGCTAGGCTTAGTTTAAGATAAAAGGGTTTTGGAAATCTTAAACTTACCTTCACTTAAGGCCAACCAAAAACCGACAGCGTAGTGTTCACTGTTGGGTGGGTGGTACCCCCAAACGAGTAGGTACTCAAGTTTGGTTCTTGGATCCCGTACGTACGTTTTAACCCTAGCCACCAGGGTTCATACCCGCAAGGCCTAACTTATATAGGTATATCTTAGAGTTCTTCTAGATACCTTTCAAATCAACATTAATATGGTTATATCTTAGAGTTCTTCTAGATACCTTTCAAATCAACATTAATATGGGTATATCTTAGAGTTCTTCTAGATACCCTTGACAATACATATTATTTTCAGAATAATCAATATATTCATTATGATTTAATCATTCACAATTATCATTTTTAATTAGAATATTTATTAAGATTTAATCATCATAATTATCAATCAATAATCATTACCATAATCATCAATGAACATAATAATCAATAACAATTAGCGGCCTAGTTTCGGGTGTTAACACCCTAACTTACCGTCATGCATCACATAATATTATTTTTTTGTTAAAAATATTTCTTTTAATGTGAAGAATCATTTTTATAATGATCATAATCAATTGGTATCAAAAATAGGATTTTAGAGTTCAAAAATAACATTTTCAAACAAATTTTCGGATCAGAAATTCGGGGGATCGATCCAGCCCTCTGGATCGATCCATATGTAGAGAAAATAGTCCCAGAGGATCGATCCAGGCCATTGGATCGATCTAGACAGTCTGGTTTTGGTTACTGTTCATCTTCTTCTTCGTTCGGGTCCAATTTTGAAAATACCGTTTTTAGTTACCGAACTTCAACGAAACTATACAGAGATGTTCTCCAAGGTTCATATATCATTTTGGCATCATTAATTCATAGTTTTAACATCAATTTCATGGTTTATGATTCTTGGTTTTTCAAGCATGTCAAACACAAAACTCAATCAAACGACCGTTTATGAACGTAGAAACGATCTATACGAACATTCTAGTCACTAGATATATCTACGGGCTTACCTCGAAGCTTAATGGAGGTTTTGAAGATTTTCCGGCGAAACTTCCAGCAACAATAGCTCTTTACTCCGGCGACCTCACACCAAATTGACAGCACCGCTGCGTTCTCCACACTCGAGGCTATCTCTCAGAATGAATTTGATGAAGAATGGTGAAGAAATGGTGAGGTTGGGTTTCTTATATAGTAAAAGAATGGAGGGAGAGACCAAGGTGATGATGTATCCGTTCCTGTTTCGGCGTCTCAGTGGAGGGGGCTGCGGTTCCTACAGATTTTAAACGTAAGTCCCTGATTGGGACTAATTTGGTCCTAGTCGGGGAACACTTTTTGGTCCAAATTTCTCCGAATTGAAATCCGTTTGCACCGTTGCGATCGTATAATTAAACTCTATCGAACGATATAATTTTCATATTTATTTGTAATACTTTTTTCCGACATCATATTTTTAGGTGGTTGACTTTGACAGAGTCAAAATTGATTTTGTTGACCTTTATTCAGAAAGGTTTTTACATTTCATTCATATTATTTATTCTCATTATTTATTTCAATAAATCATTTCAAAGTTTACATCACAAACAAATTCTTCATTTATTCTTGATTTAGGTCTGTACTCAGGTTCTCAATCAAGATTACACAATTAGTCGACATTTTGGATTTATCTCTATGAGACTTATCCAGATTTTGATATTAGATGTCAAAACAAATTTCGTATCGGCCCAAAGGCTAACAACAATTTATTTTAATCAAAACAATTTGATTAATTGAATACTTATTCATTAATAATTCTAGGGTATGTTTTGGGGCGTTACAAGATCGGCTTGTAGACTGAAGGATCTTCATCATCCACTTCAAACTCTGAAACTGGTGTGGTGGCCAAGTGTTCCAGATGCAAGTCTTCATAGTTCCTTTGCCATACCTAGTCATCATCCAAGATTTGTTCACAGCTGTGGTTGACTGGCAGTCCCAAGCACTTCTTGATGATCTTTTCATTCTTCAATTGTTGATCCCATCCCAACAACTGCTCTGCTGAATTTCCAACCTCCAAGCTCTCCAGTCATAGTAGAGCTGCCAGAATTGGTTATCAGCATCATCTGTTTGAGGTTGAGGTGAGGCGGTTGGAAGACTATGGACTTGATGAACTTCTTCTTCAAGTTGTCGAGGGCTCTGGTTGTGGGCAGAGTTTTCCTCAACTGGTACCTTCTCCTTCAACTCATCCGGGTTGACATTTCTAGAAGTTGAGAGAGATGTGATTTTTCTCTTCTTCTTCCTTTGAGGCTCTTCTTGGGCAGTAACTTCTTCTTCTTTTTCCATATTGACCAGAGCAAGATTCTGTGGTGCTTCCACACTAGGAGAGTGAGACACCACATGTTTCCTCTTGGCTATTTTCTTCAGGCTTATGATGGGAATATTGTCTGAAGAGGCTTCATCCTCTGCAGTTGTGCTAGCACCAGCTATGTGTTCCCCTTTGGAAGACAGATAGTATAGCCAATATCTGGCTTCATACTTCTTTCCTTCAGAAGCAGCACCCATGGACTCCAAAATATGTCCAATATACAGACCTTGACAAAGGTATTTCTGCTTGGGTTTTCCTAGATGCTTTGAGATGGAATTGAAGAAATGTGCAGCCCAATTTACCTTAGACTTGGTAATGAGGGCATTGATTATGAAGCCCCTCTCTTGGGTGATGTCATCGGCATGTCCTCCACTTCCACACTCGAGGCATGCGATGACCAGTTCAAGGACTAGCTTGTAGTCGTTGTTCAGATCAGCTTTCTTCGCTGGGCTAGAGGGAACTTGCCCAGAAATTCCAATAATATTCTAATCCAGTTTAATTGGGAAGGTGAAGCTTTTCTCCCAATTTCTTCTGCGAAAGCTTCACTTTGGTCCCTCCAACAGTGGAATTGATGACTTGAATCGACCTCTATGGGTCCTTCTTTGATTTGACAGTCTTGACCTTTCCATTCTTGTAGAATTCAAGAACTTCATTCTCATACTTGAATCGAATCTCCAAATGAAGGAATTCAGAGAGCTCTTGAGCAGCAATCATCTCCAGATAGGATTGATAGAACGTTGGTGAAGAGCACTTGGCTTCCAACTTCTGGAATTGGACATTAGTGCCAACAATATTCATTTTCTCAGAAATTTGAGTGAGAAGATCTTAAGAAACTAGGGTTCTTGAGAATTCTATAAGAAGGTTCTCGCGAAGAAGACGATGAAAAATTTGAGTGGGCTGAGTGGCAGTTGAAATCTGATTATAGTGGCGATTGTGTTTAATTTGGGCGATTTATGCGGCTAGTGGCGATTGGGTTTTTAACTGTTCCCAAGACCACGTGCCTACCCAACATTCTGACAGACGTGGAAAGTGGACTGCCACGTGTACCGCACTCAGTCTAATTGAATTAAACTAATTTTGTGAAGCAAATCGGAAAACTTGGCTTCACTTATTGGTTTTGTGAAGATATCCGCCAATTGTTCCTCAGTTGAGATATAATCAATTTTGATATCTTTCTTTTCCACATGATCTCTGATGAAGTGATGCTTGACATCAATGTGCTTAGTGCGAGAATGATGCACTGGATTTTATGATATAGCTATAGCACTTTGATTGTCACAGAAAATTGTCACTTCTCTTGTCTTGACTCCATAATCTAGTAGTTGTTGCTTTAGCCACAAGATTTGAGCACAACAACTACCAGCAGCAATGTACTCTACTTCTCTTGTTGATGTAGAGATGGAGTTTTGTTTCTTACTGAACAAAGAAACAAGATTTCCGTCAATGAATTGACAAGTACCAGATGTACTTTTCTGGTCAACTTTGCAACCGGCAAAGTCAGAATCTGAGTTTCCCACTAACTCAAATGTATTGCTCTTAGCATACCACAAACCCATGTTCTGAGTTCCTTTGAGGTATCTAAGAATCCTTTTAGCTGCTATCAGATGACTCTCCTTTGGATTGGACTGGAATCTGGCACAAACACCTACTGCATATGAGATATCTAGACGGCTTGCAGTAAGGTAGAGTAGAGATCCAACAATTCCTCTATAGAGAGTTTGATCAAAATCCTTTCCATCTACATCCATATCAAGCTTGGTGGATGTACTCATGGGGACAGAAACGGATGACTTCTGATCAACTTTGAATTTCTTGATAAGATCTCTTGTGTACTTGGCTTGGTTGATGAGAGTCCCTTCACTTCTCTGTTTGATTTGAAGACCAAAGAAGTAGTTAAGTTCCCCCATCATGCTCATCTCAAATTTTCCTTGCATGAGGGTGGAGAACTTGGTGCAAAGATCTTCCTTAGTTGAGCCAAATATGATGTCGTCCACATAGATTTGGACCAATAAGAGATCTTCTCCATCTTGTAGTTTGAATAATGTCTTGTCAATGACTCCTTTGATGAATCCATTATCTATGAGAAATTGAGATAATGTGTCATACCAAGCTCTTGGTGCTTGTTTGAGTCCATATAGCGCTTTTTTGAGTCTGTACACTTGATCGCCTTTAGTGTGTAGCTCAAATCCTGGTGGAATGCACTTTTGACATCCATTTGATAGACTTTGAAGTCTTTGTGAGCAGCAAAGGCTAGAAACAGCCTTATAGCTTCAAGTCTGGCAACTGGAGCGAAGGTTTCATCAAAATCTATACCTTCTTCTTGACAATATCCTTTGGCAACCAACCGGGCTTTGTTTCTGACAACAACGCCATTTTCATCCATCTTGTTCCGGAAGACCCACTTTGTCCCAATGACATGTTGATGAGTTGGTCTGGGAACAAGTTTCCAGACGTCATTTCTGGTAAATTGGTTGAGTTCTTCTTGCATTGCATTGATCCAGTCAGAATCAACTAGAGCCTCTTCAATATTCTTTGGTTCCACTTGTGATATGAAACAAGCAAGCATAGCTTCTAGATTCTGTTGGGCACTCTTTGTGCGAACGCTAGATTGAATATCTCCAATGACTTGTTGAGGAGGATGATCCTTTAACCAATGAAGATTGTGTTGATTAGGGTTGACTGGTTGATCTAGTTCAGCTTCTGGTTGAAGAACAGAGTTTGTTGGTGATTCCGGATGGATTGGCACTGAGTCGCCTTTTCCGGAATTGTCGCTGTTTGAGTGATCCAAAATAATGGGAGACTGGCCATGATTTCTAGTAGGCTCAGCACCGTCAGAATCCAGATTTTTTTGTGAAGTCTTCAGTGGTAGACTTCCGAATGGAATGAACTCCGTATGCTTCATTCTATCTCCTTCATTGATTTCTTCATCCTTGTCTGAGAGATCCAGAACCTCATGATCATGCTTTGATGGCTTGTCAACCACATGTTTTTCATAAAAAATAACATGTATTGACTCTTCAGTGATCATGGTTCTTTTGTTGAAGACTCTGAATGCCTTGCTCACTATAGAATATCCAAGGAAGATGGCCTCATCTGATTTCTCATCAAAAGTGTTCAGATGATTCTTCCCGTTGTTTAACACAAAGCACTTGCTCCCAAAAATATGGAAATATGATATATTAGGCTTTCTCCCGTTCCACAATTCATAGGGAGTTTTATTGTGCCATTTATAAATCATACTCCTATTTTGAGTATAGCAAGCTGTGTTTACAGCTTCAGCCCAGAACCTCTTTGGCAAAGAAGCTTTTGCTAGCATGGTCCTTACTGCTTCCTTAAAGGTTCTGTTCCTTCTTTCAGCTACACCATTCTGTTGATGAAGAATTCCGTTTTCTTCACAGTAATGAATGATGATTTCATTCAGGAATTCTATGCCTTTGTCAGATCTGATCTTCTGGATGGTCTGACTTGCTTGGTTTTGAATCAGCTTCATGCAGTTGGTGAGTTTTCCTTGAGTTTCCTTCTTGGTGTTGAGGAAGATTGTCCACGTGTATCTTGAGTAATCATCAACTACCACCAGGACATATTTCTTTCCACTTAGACTTATTGGAGTAACAGGACCAAATAAGTCTTTGTGAATAAGACTTAATATCCTTGTAGTTGAGGGTGCCGGTTTTGCCTTGAAAGTACACTTGACTTGCTTTCCTTTCTAGCAAGCATCACAAATTCTTTCCTTCCTGAATACAGCTTTGGGAAGACCTTTTACTAACCCTTCTTTGGATAGCTTGTTGAGAGTTTTGAAGTTCAGATGACTCAACCTCTTATGCCAAAGTCATAGAAGGTTAGTGTCACCTTTTCTAATTAGGCAAGCTTCCTTGACATCATCCCACATTACTTCATAGATGTTTCTGATTCTCTTCCCAATGAGAATGACTTCATTTGTGGAGATGTTCTTGAGAGAGGCCATGTCCTTGCAGAATTCCAAGGAGTAACCTTTATCACAAAACCGACTTATGCTAAGAAGGTTATAATTAAGACCTTCAACATAAGATACAGCTTGGATGGTTAGTCCCTTGTACACCAGATTTCCTAGCCCTTTAGTAAGGCCGAAATCATTGCTTCCTCCAAAAGTAACTCTTGGACCATCATAGGGAATTAGATTGCTCAAGAGGCTCGCATCACCTGTCATGTGTCTTGAACAGCCACTGTCTAAGTACCAGACACCTGGGTACTTAGCGGCTTCCTGCATTAGGAGGAGGAATATTTTGGTACCCAATTCAGTTTGGGTCCGGAATAGTTAATGGAGTGTGTCCCTACATCAAGTTTGAAGTTGCAGGGAATCTTCCTTGCAGCCCTAAACTTGTTGGGATTGTAATCATAGTTGTATGCATAAAATTTCCTACGAGCAGGTGGTGCATTTTCTTGTTTCCTCCTGGCAAACCTAGGTTGATAAGACCTATAGTTATGTCTAGGTTGTGCATAGTGTGGCATTTGTCGGTTGTAAGCATACTTAGCTGGGACAAATAATTTCTGGGGAGGAGGTTGACTATATTTTGGCATAGTTCTCCACTCAGAATTTCATGGAAAACTCCTATCTACCCCATAATGAGTATAGCCTCGCATATAGTGGGGGTTAGAAGGTTTTCTTCTGAAATTATTTCCTCTTTGAGGTCTGTCCAGCTTCATATAGTTCTTAGAAAGGACTACCTTTTTGGGAACTTCTGTGGGTTTCTCCTTTTCCTTTCCTTTCTGCTTACTGCATTTGGCAGTAGGTTTAGGAGGGATGAAAGTTGTTCTCCCTTTCCTTTTGGAACTGGAGGGGTCAAACCCAAGTCCTTCACGACCCTTTTGTTTGGTCGCTTCAAGAAGCTTATCCACTGCTTCTTTGGACTTATGTATCCCAAGCTCCTTGTTGAGGGATTTCACCTTTTCAGAGAGAGATTTATTTTCAGTCTTGAGTTGAGTGTTTCATCTAGTTGAATTTTTCGACCTTCAGTCAACTTGAAATTCTCTTCACTCAATAGCTTGTTCTCCTCTGTTAAGGATGAGTGTTTGAGATTTATTTCCTCAAAATCTTTCATCATTTTTTTGAACTTGTCAAAAAGACTTTCAGAAGTTGGTATGCTTTCATAAGAAGATGAACAGGAGGTTTGTGAAGTTACCTCTTGATCAACATCATCTTTGGCCATTAGGCAGAGGGTGTCATCTTCTGACATAGTCCACTGATCCTCATGGTTGGACTTCTCAGCTCTGCGCTCCATGCAGACAAGGGCTTTTTCATCCGAGCTTGAGCTGGATGACTCGTCACTTTCAGCTGCAACCATTGCTTTCTTCTTCTTTTTGTTCCTTTCTCTTTCTCCGTACCTCTCCACCTTTGGGTATGGGCACGCTGACTTCCAATGACCAAGTTTCCTGCAGTTATAACATAAATAAGATTCAGGAGGGGGGTCACTTACCTATGGCTTTCCCTTGGATGGCCTTCTAACTCAGTCAGCTTTCTTTAAGAACTTCTTGAACTTCTGGAATTGTTTGACCATCATGGCAAATTCCTCATCATAGTTCTCCATTTTTGAGCTTGACGGTTGGCTGGAGGGAGGTGTGTCACAGTTCCTTGGACATGTCCCTTCACTCGGTGGGACTCTGGGAGTTGTCATCAATGCCGTGGGGAAGGGAGTGACTTGTTCTTCCTTCTTCTTTATCAGCTCATGCTCATAGATTCTGAGCTCATCAAGGAGACCTTGGACAGTGTAGTTTTCCAGGTTTCTTCCTTCTTCCATGGCTGTGGATTTGGTGTACCACTCAGTTGGAAGAGATCTTAGTAACCTTACATTCTTTTCTTTGGGAGAAAGAATATGGTTAAGTGATGCAAGATCATTTAAGATTTTGTGGAATCTTTCATCCAACATATCAAATGATTCTCCGGGAAGCATTTTGAAGCTTTTGAACTTTTCAAGCAGGACTTCTATCTTCTGCTTTCCCAGGTCCTCCGATCCCTCACACAGCTTACCAAGACCTTGCAAAATCTCCATGGCAGTCTTGAGATGCTTGATCTTGGAGAAAGTGATGGGATCAAGTGTCTTGAAGATGGCTGATTTGGCGACATTGTCCAGATTGTGCTTCTTGTAATCTCTATCATCCCATTTCTCCTTGGGCTTTGGAATGTACAGGACAACATCAAGATTGGCTGGATTCCTCTCAGGGTTCTCCATTTGGATTTTCAAGGGTCCATCCTCAAGCACCATCCACATGCAATCATGTATGGCGTAAAGGTGTGCTTCCATCATGATCTTCCAATCATCATAACCTAGAAGAGAAAACTTGGGCAAACCGTGATCCATATTGTTCACCATTATGATCGCTTCTCTTTAATCTAAACGTAGATAGTGAGAAGTTTGCTTTGATACCAATTGGTGGTCCCAAAGTGGTGAGATACAAAGTCTAGAGGGGGGGGGGTGAATAGACTTTGTTTCAATTTTAAAACTTTTTCGTTTCTTTTGAAAACGTGAGAATAGTGTAAATCTAGAGTTCTTGGGAACTTTAGATTGTGTGCGGAATTTGGTGGGTAGTATGAGCAGTAATCAATATGGATGGGTTAGTTTTCACAGTTAATATAATTGCAAGTATGAGTAAAGATAAAAGAGAGAGACACGCAAACTTTAACGAGGTTCGAAGGTGTTGTAATCCTTCTACATCCTCAAAATCCACTATGTAGTTGGTTGTTGAAAAATGAACCAACAATTACACTTGTGTGAATTTCTGCACGGTATATCTTCGCAAGGCCAAAGTTGCTACTGCACTCGTGTTGGCTTTGTTGTTCCTTCGAAGGTCACGCTTCTTCAACAACTGCAAGATCCGAACAATAGGACCTGCAAGATCAACTTGTGAGAAAGTTGATCTACCCCCTTTTAATAAAAAAGTTTGATCAAAAGTTATATCCTTCAACGTGGTGTGGTACTTGAGGCAAGGAAACCTTCAAGTGTTTACACTATAGCTCTTTGGAAGAAGGAGAAGTTTGCTTCTGGATAAGGAGTTTTAGAAATCTCTCTTTATCAAGCTTTTTGGGCTAACTGTGAATGAGATAGCTTTGTTATTAGAGATTGCTTCGTTGTGTTCGCCTATCTCGTTGTTTTTTTTTCAGTCTTCCAAGGTTGCTATTTATAGCTGGATTGGATAATCTATCCGTTAAATCAAAATAGACTATCCGTTGCATGTGCTGGCTTCAATTTTGAATGAAGATTGTGATTGAGGATTCCTCATTGGAGTGGGTGTTTGGACATATCCAATTGTTTGAGAAGGGATTCCTTTTTCCATAGAATCCGTCTTCTAGCTGTTGTTCAAGAATTCTGGACTATAGCACTTTACTCAGTTTGTCTTCTAGTGCTTGTTTAGGAATTCTGGATGAGCTCTTTAATTTGAGGAGTCCAGACTTTGTCTTCAAGTCATTTGTTCTTGAATCAGCTTAATTATCTTCAATCTAGCCGTTGAAAATCAAGAGATTGATTTTTCCTTACCAACGGGTAGAATTTCTTCATTCAAGACTTAGAATTTTTCTAAGTCTTTTCTCACTTGTCCGCTTCTGAGAGTTCCGATCTTTTCTTGAGGCATCCAGATCTTTCCTTGACAAATCTGGAAGAGTCATTCACAGACTTTTGGGTGAGAAAGAGATCTGTGCTAGTCTTTCGATTTGAATGACTTAGCCTCCAGCGGTTTGTAGCGAGACATCTGGTTATCATGTAGTGTTCCGGATTAGAGGATCTTCATCTGCTTTGAGAAATCCTTACTTGTCTCTGACATTTCCGATTAAGATATCCAATTTCCATATCACAGAAATTGATTAAGTCTTCAAGCATCAAACCACTTAAAGAAATATCACAACTTTATTGGAAATCTCAAGAACTCGGTTTTAACAATATTTCTAAAAAGAAAAATTACATTGAATATTGGGGGAGGCCTAGCGTCCCTATTACAATCTAAATACATCATCATCAAAATCTATAATATTTTCCCAACAGCTATCACCCACATTTCTAGTCTCCATCAGGAAGACTAAGTGTAACGCCCCGAAACATACCCTAAAATTATTATTAAATAATTATTCGATTAAACAAATTTGTTTTGATTATTATTGGGCTTTGGGCCGATATGAAATATTTTTTAATATCCAATATCAAAATCTGGATAAGTCTAATCGAGATAAATCCAATATGTGGACTATTTGTGTGGTCTTGATTGGGAACTTAAGTACAGACCCAAATCAAGAATAAATAAATTAATTAATTATGATGTGAACTTTGTAATGATTTATTGAAATAAATCATGAGAATAATTGATATGAATTAAATGAGAGAACCTTTTATGAGAAAGGTCAATTAAACCAATTTTGACTCTGTTAAAGTCAAACACCCAAAAATATGATGTCGGAAAAAGTATTACAAATAATTATGAAAAGTATATCGTTGGATAGAGCTCGATTGTCTGATCGCAACGGTGCAAACGGATTTCAATTTGGAGAAAGTTGAACCAAAAAGTGTACCCCGACTGGAACCAAAATAGGTCCCAAACAGGGAACTGTTTAGACGGCGCCTCTTTCCCCACTACGCCGATCGCAGAATTGTGGAGTCACCATAGTTGTTTTCTTCTTTTCTCCTTCTCATTATATAAGAGAACCCAACCTTCTCATTTCTTCAC